TGCTCAGTAAAACAAAGAAATATCACATTTCGAGTCAGAGTTGATTGTGAGGAAATTAAGACCGAAACCGTCCTCGTGGATTACTCCTTTTTTTCGTACAATCATGGTCACTACAAGCAGTGTTGGAAGCCAAGGAAATTAGCTGAAAACACAACGATTTGGACGCACGATTGGTCTCGACCACTCCCGTCCTGTGCAAACTGAACTGAACTGAAGTTCGAGCAAACCATTAGTCTCGTTCGCATTCTTTTTCAGTTTATAACTCTACCCATTAGTGTTGCTTTGGCTTTGACTCGAGACGGTGTCCATACACATTTTCGTTTTCGCCCAGCTACGACAACAACGCCCCTAGTATACAACCGCCTTTAGTTGAAGGCTGTCTACGGTACCTTTCTTTAGGGGTGGTGATATAATCGCTTCAGCCCGACAGTGTAACGGGCTTGTGAGTATCTCACTCTCTTCGGTTTGCCTATTACGCATGTTTGCGGACATCAGTTTCTCAGAGCATTCTTCTCCTTTTTCTAGCATGAATTGTCGATTCTTTAACTAGGTCTTCAATCTTTGTTTATACTAATACCCAATCCCGTGAGACTTGTTCATTTCAAACGGTGCGTTGATTCAGTGATACATGTTGGCTTGCTAAGCTTTTCGTCTTCAGATGGTCGCAAGCCTAATCATGCTAAATTTATGGTATTTTTGAGGGGAAAACATACTTTCCCTTCATTAACTAACCGTTGTTCTTGATTACTTCCAAGTCATCGAGAATCGCAGGATATGAGACAGGAACGCTTCCACAGGTCGTAAGGTAGCATCTCATTTCTAAATCCATAGGGATTGCTGCATTTAGTTGCCGAAATCTCCAGACACGAAGGCCGATTTGTAGACTATGTTGCACTGAACGGGGTGTGATTACCCTCTACATAGTATAGTACCCTCAACAGTGCGAACCCAGCATTGCTCTTTGACCTCTTTCAAATACATCTGCCTGGTTTAGGTGCAGAATTAGATGCCGAATGAAGAACTTGCCATTCCGTAACCGGTCAAAGTCAAGTCTGGCCATCTCTCCAATCTGTTGCGCATGCTGTTCGGAATAAGTGCTGCCACATAATTCATGCAACACTTCATTGGCGACTATACAGGCTCCCATTCGTTTTTGATAAGTTAAAAAATGTATTAGTTGCTAGGAGGATCGAATTATCACCGTCTGGGACAACAGAGTCACAGTCAACAACCAACATGTTTTCGGTGTCAAATGCATTGACTTTTTCGTCACCGCAACACACGTTTAAACACTGAGCCACTCAGTGACAGAATGCAAGTGGTGATAGGCTATCTGGATCTAACCATGTTAGGGGGCCTCCGATTTTTCGACCTTAGAAAACATCTGCTGTCATTTTAGCACCAATTTTCGCAGTTCATGCAGCCAGTTACTGACTCTCTGACCGACATCACTGAGCACAACACGCATTCATCATATTGTCGCTGGTGAATGGTTACTACGCGTGATGGTCCGGTGGTAACGTCACCAATTATTACTTCGACGGACGTGTTTGTATGGCAGCCCGTTGACTGGCTGATTTCTCCTTCCTGAAAATTGTATCTTTTTACTCAATAAAAGAAAGTAAAATGAAAAAAATCAATAATTATTACGTGTGATCGAAAAGTTTATTACTAGCGAGCTTAATTTTGTATCACATAATAGGTTCTGTTTCCTTCTCGATCCATGCGAGGCAACGTTTCTGTGATCCCGAGAGCTCGGAAGATTTGGATTGTAACTTTGCGATCAAAACTCGTCGAACGGTGTCATGATAACCATTTAACCAATTGACTTCCCAAGGCTCCAACATTTCCCGATCAATTAATCGACGTTGAAATGGTACTAGAGTGACCGGTTCGAATCCTAGCCAGTCGCCTTCTTTAACAGATGAGCAAGAAGGCAAATCACTGGATCTCGGTACGTCCGGATTCATGACGAACACGACATTTTCCAAGCGGATTCCGAATTCGAGGGGCAAATAATAACCGGGTTCTATCGTGAGGACCTATGATACGGAAACAAAATTGAATATCAAGAGTTGACTCTGTATGACTCACCGGATGAGCCGAGGTTTTCATGTGAAGATAGAACTTAGTGGACAGTCAGTCTGCGTCATTACATTGAAATTCTTTATATTAGCCAATGAAACTAATCCGTAAAATTAAATAGAAAATACAGGTAGAAAATAGATAGCTTTGCGGCACTTGCAAATAAATCAGCTAGAAATTTCGTCAACCGTCCTCACCTCACGCCGGGGAACCCAGACTATTTCGCGTTACTTTGAAGGATGATAAAGACATCAAGAACGTTTTTCTTTCTAGACATCTTCTTGGCAAAGTTTCGAGTCGAATAAGAATACTTCCTGATCGACTGTGGACAGAGTGTGTGCACCATCGCACGAACCCAGTAGACGCACGCGAGTCGGAAAATAAACGAGTTATGTCGATTCACGGAGTCCCGAAATTAAACAGCCCAGACGAATCCACGTGTCAACAAAACGATTGTAAAGAGTGGAGGTTTATTCAAGAGTTGATTGGATGCCATAATATTTTTACTACCTCAATCAGCCGACTTCCGTGTTCGGCAAACTACCGTGGAAACGGCCCGAAGATTATGAAAGTAATCCTCAGTACCCAGGAAATGTTCACATTAGTCTTGCAGGCATGGTAACAAAACAGAAGAGGATCACCAGAATTACGACTCAGACCACTGTTGAACAGTGACGTAAAACGATCTCCACAGTAAGAAAACCAAACTCCACTTCACTCTGTTTCTTCGGGAGCTCACAGCAGCAGAACCAATTCCCCAAAAAACTACTGCTAGCCGACCGCAGAGTGGTCGGCATAAAGAACGATTCGAAACCCAGCGGATTCCGAACCAGACTCTCCCTAGCTTATTTTTACACAAATGCACAAGGCTTCCTTAGCAAACTCCCTGAGGTTCAAATGCGCTTACAAACTGGTCAGTGAGATCTTGTCGCCATTACCGAAACTTGGTTGACTGCCGATATTTTCGAATCGGAATTGCACCTACCCCGAATGTCGCTGCTGAGGCGTGAGCGTTCTACACGAGGTGGCGGTTTGCTGCTATATTTCCGCAGCAACCTTCAGTGTGAACCACTCGATCTCTTTAATGCAGCCCCCGACACACTTTGATGCATAAAGAGGCTGTCCAAAGATAGCAATTGTTTGATCGATGTAGCCTACCGCCCTCCTGCATCCTCCGACTTAGCTAACGAGGCACTCTTGCAGGCTATGAGAAACGCTGTCTCACTAAAGAGCACTCATGTTCTCATAATGGGGGACTTCAATTGTCCCAATTTTATAAAAAGCCAGAACTATCACTACCCTTTCGAGCGAAACATCACAAGTTACAGACTCACATCCGATGTATAATCAGGTGAAGAATCCCACCAGATTTGGAACAGGCCACCAACCATCAACATTGGACTTGGTATTGACAAACGAGGAGCTTATGGTTGAAATAACTTCTTCATTAGGACGAAGCAACCATGCAGTTTTGCTTTTCGATTACATTTACCACGCCTCAATAGAAATATGCCTGAAAACCAACACACGCGCAGTTATTGACCACAATGAATTACTGAACCTTGCTACTGTCAAACAATGGACACAACCAGAAGAGCAGCTAGATCCACTCGAGTCGTGGAAAAGATTCATTAAAACACTAACAGAACTCATAACGGTCGCCACAAAAACCAAGCCTGTCCGTGCGCTGCCCACACGATTATCACCTATCCGTAGTCGAACCAATAAATGTATGTCACAGAGGAATTCCTCTTGGCGAGAGTTCAAAAGATGTCCGACCG